ACTCCGCTGCCTAGGGCACGTCTGCAGCGCAGGGAGTCCCGCGAGCCAGTGCGTCCAGGGGAGGCATCTGCAGCCGCCAAGTAAGTGGCACCGAAAGTTTGCACCCTGGCTCTGGCCGTCCTGCACTTTTTTGTTTTGTTTTTTGCTTGGGGTGGCAACAAACCCAGAGCCGGCCCTGTGAGAAGGTCATGCGACAGCGTGTCAAAGATATACCACATCTACCACTTCCACCCCATCCACAAGGCTTGTTACCCTGTCAAAGAAAGCTATCAGGTTGGTCTGACACAATTTGTTCTTGAAAAATCCATGCTCGTTGTTACTTATCGCCTTATTATCTTCTAGATGTTTGTAAACTGATTGCTTAATTATTTGATCCACTATCTTTCCGGGTACAGAAGTTAAGATGACTGGTCTGTAATTCCCTCGGTTGTCCTTATTTCCCTTTTTTATAGATGGACACTGTATTTGCCCCTTTCCAGTCTTCTGAAATCTTTCCCGTCTTCCATGACTTTTCAAAGATAATTGCTAATGGCTCAGATATCTCCTCAGTCAGCTCCTTGAGAATTCTAGGAGGCATTTCGTCAGGTGATTTGAAGACATCTAATTTGTCCAAGTAATTTTTAACTTCTTCTTTCCCTATTTTAGCCTCTTCTGATCCTACCTCATTTTCACTGGTATTCACTATGTTAAACATCCAATCGTCACCAACCTTTCTGGTAGAACTGAAACAAAAAAATCATTAAGTACCTCTGTCATTTCCACATTTTCTGCTATTGTTTTTCCCCCTTCATTGAGTAATGGTCCTATAATGCCCTTGGTCTTCCTCTTGCTGCTAATGTATTTGTAGAATGTTTTCTTGTTACCCTCTATGTCTCTAGCTAGTTTCATCTCATTTTGTGCCGGCCTTTCTAATTTTGTCCGTACATACTTGTGTTATTTGTTTATATTCATCCTTTGTAATTTGACCTAGTTTACACTTTCTGTAGAACTCTTTTTTGATTTTTAGATCATTGAAGATCTCCTGGTTAAGGCAGGGTAGTCTCTTGCCATACTTCGTCTCTTTCCTACGTGGTGGGACAGTTGTGCCCTTAATAATGTCTCTTTGAAAAACTGTCAACTGTCTTCAGTTGTTTTTCCCCTTAGACTTGCTTCCCATGGGATTTTACCTACCAGCTCCCCGAGTTTGCTAAAGTCTGCCTTCTTGAAATCCATTATCTTTATCTTTATTTACCCCTGGAAGACTTCTGCGTACCCCTGGGGTAACCTGTACCCCTGGTTGAGAACCACTGTACTAGGCAACCTCTGTTTCTCAGAGACATTTGGATATGCTGGGACTGAGAAATGAAAGTAGCCCATGAAAGGGCAGTCTCAATCTACAGGTAGAGAACAGTAGTAAGATTCGTTCCCTTACTTCTGTAAATAGCTTCTGTTGTTAATCAACCATGAATCAGAAAACCAGTCTACTCATCAGTAAGATATCAAAATGTTATTAAAGCTAATATTAAAAATATATATATAATACATAGGTTGGGAAAAGAGTGTCTATATATCTGGATGTAGTGCTTAGATTATCCACAAATATAAATGTAGTTTTTAAAAGTCATATGATACATAGAGTACATGATCAGCAATAACCCAAATTTAGGTGAATTGATTTAACAATCCAGTTTAGATATTAGAATACAAATACTTGGGTACATCACTCATGAAAAGTTGTAAAAAGATTTCATTGTGGAAAGCAAAATATATCAATGAGTGGAGATTGTCCCTCAGTAATTGAGAATTAGGTTGGTTGTCCATTTAGAAAATACAATGCATGAGGAAAGTATTTCGGCTACTTTCCTGACTGCGCTTCTCATCGGCACTCCAGCTCATCCCTCCTGCTATTGCCGATGTCCAGTGATGTGTTCTATGTAGATGTCCCTCGACCAACCATGAGTTGCCGCATCAGCCGAGCGTAGCATTGACCAATTCTGCATTATCTCACCACTCTCTCGTTACTGGGTTCCCATGCGCCTAAGGCTGCGATGATCAGTGCATGTGTCTGGACAATTAGCCCTTGTCTTAGTAAGTCAGTTTGGTGAGTTATGTAACATCAGTGCCCAATCAACTCAGACATCCCTGGGCCGTTGCCTGTTGGGCTAGTACATTCCAGTGGTTTCATAGCTAGCGCACCTAGTTTTCTTTAGCAGATCAAGTAACTGGAGCTGCTTCTTTACCAGAATTGATTCTAAATATCTTGTGTCTCTCCAGGTATTCCGTGTCTTCCGCCTCCTGACATCCCCAATGGAAGGCACACTGGGGTGATAATGGATGACTTCTCTTATGGGTCATCTGTAACCTACAAATGTGACAGTGGTTTCCCGCTCACTGGAGAGGCCTCTATTCACTGC